TCAGAAGGGCAGCATCTGGGAGCTTAAATATTCACATTGCCACACCCCCTTTCTTTCAAACAGACCTAAGGAATTTTCTGTGTGTTTTTTTATTTTTCTTTTCATTTTGTTTTGTTTTTCTGAGTCAGAGTGTCACTCCATCACCCAGACTGGCAGCAGTGGGACGCTCACTGCTACTGCAACATTGGTCTCCTGGGTGCAGGTAATCCTTTTACCTCAGCCTTCCAAGTAGCAGAAACTACAGGCATGCGCCAACATACCTGGCTTATTTTTTGATCTATTGTAGTGACGGGGGTCTCACCAAGTTGCCCAGGCTGGTCTCGAACCCCTGGGTTCGGGAAGTCCTCTCACCTCTGCCACCCAAAGTGCTGGGGTTACAGGCATAAGCCACCATGGCTGACCTGGAATTTTCTTGTCTTTATCCACTGATCCATCCATATTATTTCTAGTATGATAAGGGATTTTAAAAACACAGCCACAATACCATTAACATAACTAATATCATCAGCAACAATTATAAAACATTATCTAATATCCAGTCCCTGTTCAATTTTCTTGGTTGTCTCAAAATTGTCCTTTTATAAATGGTTTGTTCAAATCAGAAGCCATATTCACAAACAATAGCCATGCATTACATTTTGTTAATGTCTCTGAAGTATCTTTTAATCTATAACGGTCACAGGATTTTTAAAATGTTTTTATTTAGCTTTTTAATTATTTAAAAAGTATTTGTGTGTTTATTAAATAGATCATGCTTGCAGGAAGGCAAAACTTTTTTTTTTCCAAACAGTACAAAAAGATGTATAGGGAAATGTTCCTCAGTTTCTCTTCTCAAAAGCAATGTTACCAGTTTCATGCATAGTCCCTGAGACTGCTATAGCTTGGTGGTTAAGAATGAGGACATGAGTTCAAATCCATATTTTTTCCATTTACTAAGTATAAATCTTGGGCATAGTACATAGCTTCTGTGCCTCAGATTTTAAAAGTAGTACCTATCTCACAGGGTTGTTGAGAGAATTAAATCAGGTAAGTAAAGTTCTTAAATTATTTGTTATCATACATATTCCTCTTTGGCTTTTACCCAAATGGCAGAATGAGGCACATTTCTCTTTCTTTCTTTCTTTTTTTTTCATCTAACATCACATTTTGATGATAATTTCATATCTGTATTTATAGAACCACTTTTTATATTTTGTAATCATTGACTAATATTTCATTATACAGATGTACTGCTGATAGACATGTAAGTTATTTCCAACCTTTTGTTATTATCAAAAAATGCTGCAATGAATATATCCTTGTAATACTCTATTGGATTCATGTGTAAAAATATTCATAGGATAAACTCCTGGAAGTGAAATTGCTGAGCTAAAGGGTATGTGCATTTTAATACTTTATAGATATTGCCCGACTGCCTCAAAGGAGGTTATACCAATTTACACTCCCTGGAAAAATACACAAGGGTCACCATTTCCCCACACCCTAGCTAACACAGGGTATTACTAAATGTTTTCATCCTAGTAAACATGATGAGTGGAAAATGGCATCTCTTGGTTCTAATGTACATTTCTCTTATTATGAGAAGACGAAGTACAACTAACCCTCAGCAGTCAGATGACTTAGCCGTAACCCCTGCGTGAGGACACCAGCGAACACTGTCAGGATCCAAACAATTTTGTATTTATGGAGATGAAGCTGTCTACCCGACAGCACAGAGCTTATTTCATCAATGTGTGGAGATAGTGCTACCCAGCAGTGGGGAGGGGTTTGTTCTGAACCAATCCCGCTTTCTGGCCTGGTCCATTTCCGGTACGTGGTCAGACATGGCCACGATACAAGCATTTGCTCTGCTGACTTCTTCCTCCTTCTTGAAACAATCTTTCCCATCAGTTTCCCTTGCCAGACTCATGGATTTGCTCCTAATGCACAAGCTGCTTTTTGCTCGATCTCCTCAGCTGGCTTCTCTCCTCTCCTGAGCTGGTAGACATGGGGGACCCCAGATCCCCTTCCAGCCCCTTCTCTCCTCTAACTATAACTTCCCCATGGGTGACATCCCTCTTCTGTGCTGGTAGGAATGGGGGAGCCTAGGGTTCCTTTCGGCCTCTTCTCTCCTCTAACTATAGCTTCCCCATGGGTGACATCCATTCCAGTGGGCTTAAATATCGGGGCCAGGACTAGGGTGAAGCCGTTGATGCAACCAGCACATAAAACTTAAGGAGACATTCTCCCTCGGCTTCATGCAGGTGTAGGGTTGGCCCAGAGAGTAACTGTCCCCTTACAGTTGGCATCCCAGCATTTTGCTTACCTCGATTGAGTCCTGTCCCCTTACAGTTGGCATCCCAGCATTTTGCTTACCTCGATTGAGTCCTGGTCCTGTTACACACCCCAGTCTTCTCCCTGGACCTCCAGAAACATAAGTCCTATTTGACATTTCTAATTGGAAGTCTCAAAGGCAACCCAAATTTGTTCTAAACCAGAACTCTAGCATCACATTCTATCTCGGTTCCTAAACCTGTTCCTTCTACTTGTCTATCTCAATTAACAGTATCATCATGTGTTCAGTTGCTTAGGGCAAAGACCTAGGAGTAATAGTTGATTCCTCTTTTTCAGCAAGTTATATCTTCCATCTCCAAAATGTATCCCAAATCTGACAACCTCTCACCACCTTGGAGCAGCCTCCAACTCTTGCCTCTGTTAATAGCCTCCCCCATCTCCCTGGATGTTTGTCCTTCCCTACCCTCTTGTGGTCACTACTAAGCAACCAGTGTCATCATTTAACAGCATGAAGGAGACTGTCACTCTTCTACTTAAAACTTTCCAGGCTGAGCATGGTGACTCATGTCTGTAATCCCAGCATTTTGGGAGGCTGAGGCAGAAGGATCACTTGAGGCTAGGAGTTGAAGACCAGTCTGGGGAACATAGTGAGACTCCATCTCTACCAAAAAGTTTAAAAATGCCAGGCATAGTAGCATGTGCTTGTAGTCCCAGCTACTTGGGAAACTAACATAGGAGGATTGCCTGAACCAGTTCAGGACTGTAGTGAGCTATGATCACACCACTGCACACCAGCCTAACAACAGAGGAAGACCCTGTCTCTAAAAAACAAACACACAAAACAAAACAAAAATCTACAGGGGCTTCCAAATGAATTTAGAATAAGAATGCTACTCTTTGCCACAGTCACTAGACTAGGATCTAGTGGGTACAGTGATCTGATCCTAGCATAACAATCTCCCACTTCCACCCCCTCCCCATGTACTGGGTCCCGCCACCCTGGATCATCCCTACCTCAGTTGTGCTCCTTTTCCCTGGAAAGCTCTTACCCTAGGGTGACTTCCTTCTCTACATTCAGGCTTGAGCTCAAGTATCGCTTTCCTGACCAACCCTACCCACTCCCCCGTCACACAAAATCCCATTGCATGATTTCATGTCTCCATCACACTGATCACGATCAGAAAGCATCTTATTGTTACCACTGCATGACAGCTCTCCACAAGTTTCAAGGGCTTTAAACAAATATTTGCTAATTCAGCTGGACAGTTCTTGATTGAGCCTCTCCTACTGTTGCAGTCATCTGGTGGTCTTTCTGGGCTTGACATCCAGGACAGCTTCCTCCCTCATGTGCCTCCTCCCTTATAGGATAGGCCTGGAACTGGCACAGTGTTCTTCTGCTGCCATATTCAGGCGGTCAAAGCAGTCATTGGCCAGTCCAAGTTCAAAGAGATTGGGGGGAAAAAATTCTACCTCTTAAAGGGGAAGTGACACATGTAAAAGGGAGGAAGACATTGATTGTGGTTGTCTCTGGAATATGCTAACCTTTGTTTGCTTGCTTGCTAACGATCTGTCTACTCCCATTAGGTTATAAACTCTGTAAGCAATAGGGACCTTGTTTATCTTGTTTTATGGCTCTATGTCCAGCACCTAGAACAATGCCTGGCACATATTACGAGCTCAGTAAATAAATACACGTTTGGAATACTAAAGTGAACTGAACTAAACTTCCCCAAATAGGTCCTGCCAGACTTGCTAATGCCAACCATGCTGATGCCTCACCAGATAAGAGAAATCTTACATGTATAAAGTATTTCATTTTCTCTGTAAACAAGAAAAACTTGCCCTGAACACTAAATCTAGAAATAGATTTGGCGTGTTTTCTAAATGGAAAATATTTCTCGTAGCACCAGAAATTATTTTCCCACAGATCGGCACCCCATCAAATTGACTGAAAATACTCCATGCTTTAATCTTGGTGTGAACTAGAAGCCATGTTTTGGGGGGAAAACAAAGTTAATATGGAAACCTCCTGCTATTTCAACTAATCCAGATATGAACTTAAAATAGTATTACAAATTAAGATGGATTTTAAAAAATGACTGCTGAGGGCTGGGCTCGGTGGCTCATCCTGTAATCCCAGCATGTTGGGAGGCTGAGGTGAATGGACTGTCTGATCCCACAGGTTCGAGACCAACGCCAGGCAAATTGGTGAGACTTTGTCTCTACAATAAATCAAAAATTAGCTGGGCATGGTGGTGCGTGTCTGTAGTTCCAGCTACTTGGAAAGCTGAGGCGGATAACCTGAGCCCAGCAGGTTGACACTGGAGTGGCCATGATCGTGCCACTATACTCAGCCTGGGTGACGGAGTGAGACTCTAACTCAAAAAAAAAAAAATGACTACTGAGAAATGTCATTAAAAGTTCTGTCATCAAAATGTGCAGTTTTGCATGACAAAGCCAGCACTTGTTTGGTGAAGTCATTACATATGACCAAAGGTAGAAAAAAAATTCCCTCAAATCTCCGCTTTGCTAATTTTTACAGTGAAGGCTCTAAAATGATCCTATCTTTAAACCTTTTGGTAAATTAGAAAGTGAGAATGTATTCATCAGAAGGATTTTAGTGATTTTTGAAATTAAAACGAGAAGAGGGATTTAATTTTAAAAATTATACTTGCAGACTGCTACTAATGCAATTTATTCTAACCTTTGTTTTGTCTTATCTTTAGTTTTTCCAGATTTGCTCAAAGCCATCCCAGTGAGCATCCACGTCAATGTCATTCTTTTCTCCACAATTCTCATTGTTTCAACCATGGTGGGGACAGCCTTCTTCATGTACAATGCTTTTGGCAAACCCTTTGAAACTCTGCATGGTCCACTAGGGTTGTATCTTTTGAGCTTCATTTCAGGTGAGTACAAAATTTTACCTGAGGACAAATGTGCTTTTCATTCTATACAAAGATGGTCTACCTAAGTATAAAGTTACAATATATATAACATACTTGGATGTGCCCTGTAGTTTTATACATGATGACAAAAAGTTGGGAAATACCTTAACTATCCAATAATAGTTAACTATCCAATAATACATATAATAGTTAACTATCCAATAATAGTTAACTATCCAATAATAGTTAACTATCCAATAATACATAAAATAATAGGTACTTCAATACATACATTATGGTAGTCCATATGAATAATTATGACTCTGACATTGAATTATATTTTTGAGATGTAATCAAGAGGATAAATGCTTGTCTCAAAATGTTAAATGGAAAAAGCAGGCTGGGCTCGGTGGCTCAGCCTGTAATCCCAGCACTTTGGGAGGCTGAGATGAGTGGATTGCCTGAGCCTACGGGTTTGAGACCAGTTCGGACAACTTAGCAAGACCTTGTTTCTACAATGAATCAAAAATTAGCTGAGTATGGTAGTGCTTTCCTGTAGTTCCCACTGCTTGGAAGGCTGAGGCAGAAGGATCTCCGGAGCCCAGCACGTTGATGCTGGGATGGCTGTGAGTGTGCCACTGCACTCCAACCTGGGCAACAGAGTGAGACTCCAACTCAAAAAAAAAAAAAAAAAGGAAAAAGCAGTATATAAACTTTTATAAGCATTATAAACCTAATTTGATTAAATGTGTAAAATAGAGAAAATGCATATAAAATATGTATGTATTTATATTTACTCTATATTTATATGAAGGAGATATATATATATGGAAGAGATAGATTGGATATGTGATAGATAGATACTCCAGTCAGTTGATTGTGGTTCTCTCTGAACATTGAAACTATAGATGATTTTTATTTTCACTCACACTTAGCAATATATCTATGGGTTCAATAATGTGCTTTTATTTATTCATAATCAGAAAAATAAATAAATGCCATCAAAAAAGTATAAAGAGCCAGTGTTCCACTCACACCTGAGCTTCCATATTCAGACCTGTAGGTACTTAATGTAGCCTAATGCTAGGTGTTTCTGGGCAAGGATATACTGTAATCCCAGATATCAGTTCATCAATAAGCATGTGCTACTCCAGCTATTCCATACCAAAACAGATGGAAAAGAGTATAAAATTCAGTCAGTGCTTACAATATATTTGTGACAGGGAGAAGGAGAGAGATGAGACAATGAAAAATATATGTGGGGGAAGGGGTGTGTGGGATTGGCAGTAGTGGGAAACTGCCAGGGGAGGGAGGGGCACACCTCATCAACAAGAGTACCTGCATAATGAACATTCGTATACCTAACCCTGAATTGTACCGCACATCTTTAAAATTAAAAATTTTTTAAAAACTATGCAGCTATTCTTCTATAGGAGCTATTCTTCTATAGGAGGTCTCTGATTTCTCCCCATTCTAAACTTACAAAAAGATTCAACACTTTGTCATATTCCTAGGAAACAAGTAGTTTTATTGATGATTTCAAGGAAAGATGGAAAGCGATTACAACTCACACCAGCAAACAATGTAATGAAAATCTCTATTCAACTGTTCCTTTTTTCCCCTGAAGTTGTTCTTTGGCTGCCAGCCACCAGGCACCAGCCCGAGTTTCCTTCTTGCTCTTAACACTACGCCATTCTCCCTCGCAATTCAACTCCAGCCACAAACTTGCATAGATTCTGCTCAATAACACAAAGCCCTGCAGTTAAGGGGGGCTCCTCTTAGAAGGCAGTGTAGCCTCTTTTCTTCATTACTTACGCACACTGCTTGGGATCTCACCCCAGCCACATCTTGCTAATCAAATTATTCATCCAACCAAAGTAGGTTTCTCTCTATTCTGCTAATATTTTCTTTTTATCTCTCACAAGCATCTAATACGGTGTTAAATTGTACAGATAATGATTATTACCTTCTGAGGGCAGAGTCTAGGTCTTTCTCAGTTTTGTATCTCTGGCAAAAGCATTCAGTATGAAACTCTGCACACAGCACATGATTCTACATGTATTTGCTGACTTGAAAAAGCAAGCCCTGATAGGAGATGTTAACTTGGTCACCTAGAGAGAATGAATGTTACAGCAGTCAAAAGTCAGATAGGATGGGGTTAACAGAGCAGGTCCACAGAGACAATAGGAAACGAGCCAGTAAGGAATGGAATAGAGTGTCACCAAGGAAGGCCCAGGGCTTTGCAACCAGGACCTAAGATCAAGAACACAGGCTCAGGGTATGGACAGGCAGACCATGAGAATGATTCAATTTCATGTAAAGGTCCAGGTCAGAGAGGGATATTCGGATTACTTCCTCCACCAAACACCCAAAACCAAGCTGGTGGATCTGAGTGATGTGCCGTTTTAGTGATGACCATTGAGCCAACCAGAATCCAGGTAGAAAACAACATCACAGCATTTTATTTTTTTGAATTGGAGTCTCCCTCTGTTGCCCAGGATGGGGTACAGTGGCACGATCATGGCTCACCACAAACTTGACCTCTTGAGCTAAGGTGATCCTTCTGCCTCAGCCTCCTGAGTAACTGGGACTACAGGTATGCACCACCACATCCAGCTACTTTTTAAATTTTTCATAGAGATGAGCTCTCACTGTGTTGCCCAGGCTAGTCTCAAACTCCTGGACTCAAGCAGTCCTCGTGCCTCAGCCTCCCAATTTGCTATGATGTACAGCAGTGGTTCTCAAAGTAGGGTTCCCAGATGAGCAGTATCTGCATCATCTGGGAACTTGTTAGAAAAGCAATTTCTCAGGCCCCATCTCAGACCTACTGAATCAGCAGCTCTGTGATTGGGGCCTGGCCATCTGTGTTTTAACAAGTCATTCAGGCTATTCTGATGCAAGCTCAAGTTTGAGCTATGGGGACATGATTAAACAGGTGTCCAAGAGCTGAAGAAAACAAAAAAGGAGACCCTGCAGTAACTCAAAGAAGGTAATTTCAGAAAGCAGCTACCATCCCTAGGATGTGGGGAACAAACAAAATTCTTTGGCATTCCCAGAACCTAAAAGCTCGAGGATGGGCCCCAGAGCACTGGGTTTCAGACCTTGATGCTCTGGTCCTGTCTTTGTGGGACACCATGAGGGCTTCTGTGAATGTGGAAAGGGCCTGGACACGCCCCAGTGGCTGCTGCCAGGGAGAAGTGACAGTGCCATGCCAAGTGGAAGAAATAGACCCTTCCTCTTTCTCCTGCCTTCCCTCTCCCCCGGTGCTCACATTTGGCAGAAAGCAGCTGATGGGGCAGAATTAGTCTGGGGAGTCTTGAACCAACATCACAGAGCAGAGCAAAGAAAAACTGGTTTGAAGGTGAGAGGCAACAGCTTATTTACCGCCACAGCCGTCTAGCACTCCAGCTTCTGAATGAAATTCAGAGGAACAACCCATTTGGAAGACAAATTATTTGACAGTTCTGACAGACGACCAGACTAACGGCATTTGAAGAGCAAGATGACTCAGAGAACACAGAATTGAATCCAAGTCTCAGATCTTATCTCAGCCTTTGGCCAAGTCTAATGCAAGGAAACCCTGAGCACACAAATATATGCGGGAACAATCAGGCCCTGTGCTCGCGTTTTATCTTCCGTATCTTCAAATTCATTGTAAAAGCAGGTGCTCAGCAAAGGTTTGTGAATCAGGAAAGGACAGAAGGAGGGCAAAGGAGGGAAAGAACCAACTCCAGATGTGTCTTGCAGAAGATAAAGGCCTGTCTCTAGATCATCTGGGTGTTTTTTTTTTTTTTTTTTTTGAGCTGGAGTCTCACTCTGTCGCCCAGACTGGAGTGCAGTGGCTGCTCCCACCGCAGCCTCGACTTGCTGAGCTCCGGCGATCCTTCCGCCTCAGCCTTCCAAGTAGTTGGAACTACAGGCACACGCCACCACATTCGGCTAATTTTTTTATTTATTGTAGAGATGAGGTCTCACCAAGTTGCCCAGGCGAGTCTCGAACCCGCGGGCTCAGGCAATCCACTCACCTCAGCCTCCCAGGGTGCAGGATTACAGGCTGAGCCACCGAGACCGGCTGCTTCTGGATTTTTTAAAAGACCCCAATACTTACTATTAAATATCAAAATATTCAATCACTTTATTTTTTATTTTTTAATTTTTTTTTGAGTTGGAGTCTCACTCTGCCACCCAGACTGAAGTGCAGTGGCCGCTCCCGGCCACCGCAGCCTCGACCCACTGGGCTCC